GGGGGGGGGGCGCTGGAGCTGTCATGGTCACTACTGTGTCACCAGGACAGGGGCTGGCCCAGAACAGGGGATTGGAGAATAGCAACAAATAAGACTCACAAATGCAGATCCTTCTGTAACCCCCACAAAACAGTCCTAAAAATATACTCACACACAGATGACCCTGTGCCTCAAACTCAGGTACGAACACAGCCCCGTTCCCCAACAGCCTGCACGTGTCGCAGACATCGCCCCACGCTTGCAAGCACAGCTGATGTCTCAGATGTTTTTGGTGTTAAGCAAACCCAAGATTGGAAAATCCTATTTACAGGATAGTTAGCCTCAGAGGCCCCCAACATCTCAGAGCTAAAAAGAGCCGGCAGGGTAATCTGCAGCACCCTCCCTCCCATACACAGTGGGAGTGGAAATTTCCACTGGAGAGAAGGGTTAGGCTTGCTGACCCCGGAGCAGACAGACCTGGGCTGGAATCCAACTCAATCACTTATAGCTGTGTGACCTGGGGCAATTAACTTAACCTCTCTGCGCTGTGCCTCAGTTTTCTGCTGTAAAATGGAGATAACAGTTCCTGCATTGTGGGGCTGTGCTTAAGATTTAATGCCTTTTTTTTTTTTTTTTTTTGAGACGGAGTCTTGCTCAGAGTGCAGTGGCGTGATCTCGGCTTACTGCAACTTCCGCCTCCTGGGTTCAAGCGATTCTCCTGCCTCAGCTTCCTGAGTAGTTGGAATTACAGGCGCCCGCCACCATGCCCAGCTAATTTTTGTATTTTTAGTAGAGACGGGGTTTCACCGTGCTGGCCAGGCTGATCTCAAACTCCCGACCTCAGGTGATCCGCCCGCCTCAGCCTCCCAAAGTGCTGGGATTACAGGTGTGAGCCACCGCACCCAGCGTTTGTTTGTTTGTTTGTTTGTTTTTTGAGACACTGATTCTGTCACCCAGGCTGGCGTCAGTGATGTGATCTCCTCACTGCAACCTCTGTCCCCAAGGCTCAAGCCATCCTGTCACCTCCCAAGTAGCTGGGACCACTGGCATATGTCATCATGCCCAGCTGTTTTTTTTTTCTTTTTCTTTTTGTTGTTTTTTTGGAGACAGAGTCTTGGACTTGCCCAGGCTAGAGTGCAGTGCCACAATCTCTGCTCACTGCAACCTCCATCTCCTGAGTTCAAGTGACTCTCCTGCCTCAGCCTCCCGAGTAGCTGGGACTACAGACACGTGCCACCATACCCAGCTAATTTTTTTTTTTAGTAGAGATGGGGTTTCACTATGCAGGCCAGGCTGGTCTCGAACCCCTGACTTTAGGTGATCCACCCGCCTCGGCCTCCCAAAGTGCTGGGGTCACAGGTGTGCGCCAGCACGCCTGGCCTTTTTCGTAATTTTTGTAGAGATAGGGTTTCACTAAGTTGCCCAGGCTGGTCTCCAACTGAGCTCAAGTGATCCGCCCTGCTGGGCCTCCCTAAGTGCTGGGGTTACAAGCGCAAGCCGCCGCACCTGGCCCTAATGTAGTTATGTAATGTGATTATGTATTTAAAGGCACAGCCCAGTGTACATTCCCTATAAGCCTGCCTTGTTATTTACCTAAGCCTCTCCCAACTCCTTTCAGCAGCCAGGGGGGTCTTTCTGTAGCTCAAATCTTTGTGAACTTGGCAAGCTTAAGGAGCCAAGTCTCACCGCCTCAATTTATACTCCGATTCCTTTTGCAAAGATTAGTTCTACAAAGTTCTAACTTCAGTGCTTTTTGTATAAACGCGGCATGGCTGGATACAGTACAGCGGGCGTCCCCCGATCTACCCTCAGACTTCATTATTTGGGAGCCCTTAGAATTACCGATCTCGGGGGTATCCGCAAGCGAAGAGGAAGAGGAGGAGGAAGAGGAGGAGACGGAGGGCGGGGTTGGGGGGCCTGGGGTCGGGGT